CTGCTCCGGATGGCCCTTCAGATTCTAAACGACGCGGGGCAAGCACGGTCCTTCAGCCAGAGCTGCGCCGGGCGGTGCATCTCCCATCTCCTGTTGTGGACTTCGGAGGCGGGGTTCCACTCGGCGCGGGCGCCCTGCTTTCTGCGGGGCGGTCGCGGCGGGGGCCTGCCGGGGCGCACTTTTTACCGGAGTCCCCATGTAATGCTTCTCCGCTGGCATCGCCACGCAATGCGCAGTCAACTGCGGCGCAACTGGGGTGGTGCGCCGAATGGCAGGAAGGGGAGGCAGAGCAATGAAGTCCAATAAATAGAGTAAGAAGTTTAATGAATGAGTAGAGAGCTCCCTTGAACGGCGTGAGAGCTCCCTTGAGCCATGCTGTATACTGCGCGTGAATTCAAGAATTAGCGTGGCATTTGCAAGGTCCGGTGCATTTGGCGCGCGTCATATTCTAGCGCCACGCGCAGGGCAAGAAAATATGTCTATATGTACGGTGCTGGCGCAGTGCGCTGGCAAGGTCCCTGCGCTGCAGGGCTACTCGGCCTTTGGCCGAGCAGAAGGCGGTCAGGGAGCTTTCAGGGCGTGACCCAGGTCCTGGATCACCCCCTCGTCCATCAGCGCCCGAACGGCGCCGCAGAAAACGCCTACCTCCGTCGCTCTCAAGGGCGGCATCTTGGTGGATGCCTCGGCGGCACGCTTGATGGGGCGGTTCATTGTCGTTTCCGTGTCGTTCGCCACTTCTTTCTGCGCGCGCGCCGAAATCCAGCGCTTCTCAGCGGCCATGCAAACCGCTTTTACGCAGTGCGCCAGCAAACTGTACTCTGCGTCCTCAGTCGCGAATATATTATTGCACAGCTGCACGACTGCGTTCGCCGCGGTGGTCCAATAAATAGAGTAAGAAGTTTAATGAATGAGTAGAGAGCTCCCTTGAACGGCGTGAGAGCTCCCTTGAGCCATGCTGTATACTGCGCGTGAATTCAAGAATTAGCGTGGCATTTGCAAGGTCCGGTGCATTTGGCGCGCGTCATATTCTAGTGCCACGCGCAGGGCAAGAAAATATGTCTATATGTACGGTGCTGGCGCAGTGCGCTGGCAAGGTCCCTGCGCTGCAGGGCTACTCGGCCTTTGGCCGAGCAGAAGGCGGTCAGGGAGCTTTCAGGGCGTGACCCAGGTCCTGGATCACCCCCTCGTCCATCAGCGCCCGAACGGCGCCGCAGAAAACGCCTACCTCCGTCGCTCTCAAGGGCGGCATCTTGGTGGATGCCTCGGCGGCACGCTTGATGGGGCGGTTCATTGTCGTTTCCGTGTCGTTCGCCACTTCTTTCTGCGCGCGCGCCGAAATCCAGCGCTTCTCAGCGGCCATGCAAACCGCTTTTACGCAGTGCGCCAGCAAACTGTACTCTGCGTCCTCAGTCGCGAATATATTATTGCACAGCTGCACGACTGCGTTCGCCGCGGTGCGCGCCTTCGCGAAAGTCTCACTGTCAGCATTCTCCTCTTCGAGTAGCTGCAAGGCCGTGAAGGCCAAGGCGCTCGGGTCACGCCCGTATAACTCACGCCCCCTGTCGGCCATCACGCCACGAGGCAAGGCTTCCTTGCCAGCCAGTTTGGCGATGTTTTTGCGTGGTTGCCCGCACGCAGCGCGAATGCGGTCCGGCAGCTCCTCGCCAGGGATTGTGGCATGCTTGAAGTCCGAGAACTGGCTCGAGAACTTCGCCCCCGCGCCAGGGTCGCGGCAGTTTCCCTTTATCCACGCGATCATGATGGAGTTCGGCGTGGCATCGTAGCGCATGATTGCCGATGGGAAGTGGCAGTGGAGCTTCCCACGTTTAGATGTCTCGCCCCAGCGCCCGTGTGGGGGTTTGAGCTAGTGGATTGCAGTGGTTGGGTCGTTCACCCAGAACAGATTTCGCCCCGTGATCCCTTGCACCGTGTGGTGTGTCCCGCAGAGCGAAAACGGGGTGTCTTCCCTGGCGTCTGCTTGTTTGTCGGCTGATGCTGTCCAGCCCGACAGCAGCTGAAGGTCAGGCTTGCTCCATTGGTCGAGGTTTAGCATGTCAACGACGACGATATTTGCCCCGATGTCGCCTGGTCACGAACTTCAGCTTACTGCTGTCGGGATATACCTTCGTCAGGTATCTGCCGTAGCAAACCTCATCGAAACGCTTCACGGTGATCCCTTCGTGGCGCGGATTCCCCTGGACTTGTGGCCCCAAGAACCACCTCTCGTCATCGACCAGCCCAGTCTGCCTGCGCCCCATGACATGCGCACTGGATGACTCCTGCGTGATCCCTGCCCCCATCCTCACATAGTGGGCAGTCTTTTGCGAAATGCGCGCGTCCTCTTCCTCTAGGCCCATAACGGCCCAAGATGTCCCCAAGACGGCCCAAACGCCCCAAGACGGCCCAAGACGCTTCCAAGACGCCCAAGGTGGCCTCCAAGACGGCCCTGGAGCACCCCAAAAGGGCCCCAAGTCGGCCCAGAGAGACCCCCAAGACGACTTCCGACGGCGTCAGACGGGCCAGAAGCCAACCAAGACGGCCAAAGAGGCCCCCGAGAAGCCCCCAAAGACCCCCAAGAGGCCCAAGGAGGCCCTCAAGATGCCTCCAAAAGGCCCCAAAGGCTCCCAAGATATCCCCTCCTCCTCCTCCTCCTCCTCCTCCTCCTCCTCCTCCTCCTCCTCCTCCTCCTCCTCCTCTCCTCCTCCTCCTCCTCCTTCTCCTCCACACCTCCTCCTCCTCCTCCTCCTCCTCCTCCTCCTCCTCCTCCTCCTCCTCTTCCTCCTCCTCCTCCTCCTCCTCCTCCTCCGCCTCCTCCTGATTTTCCCCGCCATCCTCCCCCTAGTGCTCCCCGAAGGGTTTCCCCAACGGCTGGGGGAACACATCATCCGATAGCATGGCTGAGTTCTTGCCACAACGCTCGGCCACATGGTGATTCGCCGTAGGCGTCTTCGATGACGCCAACATCTCCATATGCGCTGATAATTCCTATCCGCCCCCGCATGATGTTCCCAGATGCGTCAAGGCAGCGCCGAGACGCACCGACGCGACTCTGACACATCCCATTATGATAGAGGGGGGCGGCGGCAGGGGGCGAAGCCCTTACGGATATAGGTGCGTATGTATGAGAGAACGCGTTTCGAAGGCGCTCGCCTGGGGAACATTCGGCGGCGCGTTTCGGAGCGGGGGGGGGCCCCCCCAACACTCGGCGCCGTCGATCAAAACCAGGGGGACACCCCTCCCCCCCAAAACCCCCCCCCCTCCCGAACCCCCTCCCCCTCCCCTCCCAAGGCGGGGGGGGGTTCAAGCCCCCTCCCCCCCCCTCCCAAGGGACGGGCGGGGGGTTCAAACCCCCCCTCTCCCTCGGCGCCGGCGCCGGCGTTGGCGGCCGCCAGCAGCGCCCACGGCGGGGACGCACCGACGATGACCAGAGGCAGCTCAGTGGGGGGGGTTGAACCCCCTCCTTCCCCTCCCCCCCTTCGCGCCGGCGCCGGCGCTGGCGGCGGCCAGCAGCGCCGGCGCTGGCGCCGGCGACGAAGGGGAGGCAGCGACACTTACAACCACTACCACCACCACCACCACCACCACAACCACTACCACCACCACCACCGCCCCAACCCACAACCACCACCACCAACAGCACCACACAACCACCACCACACACCACCACCAACACCACCACCACAACCACCACTACCACCACCACCACCACAACCTACCACACCACCACCACCACAACCACCACCACTACCAGCAGCACAACCCACCGCCACCACCACAAACCACCACCACCACCACCACCACCGCCACCACCACCACCACAACAAACGTCCACAAACCACCGCCACCACCACAACCCACCACCACCACCACCACCACAAACCACCACCACACCCACCACACCACCACAACCACCACCACCACAACTCACCATCACCACCACCACCACAAAAAACCCACCACCACTACCACCACCACCACAATCCACCAACCACACCACCACCACCGCCATAACCACCACCACTACCAGCAGCACACACCACCACCACCACCACCACCACACCACCACCACACCACCACCACCACCAAACCACCCACAACCACCCCACCCACCACCCACCACCACCACCACCACCACACCACCACCACCCCACCACCACCACTACCACCCACCACCACCACCACCAACCACCACCACACCACCACCAACCACCACCACCACCACCACCACACCACCACCACCACCACCACAACACCACCACACCACCACCACCACAACCACCACCACCGCCACCACCACCACCACCCACCACCACCACCACCACCGTCGTCCTCGTCGACGCTCCCCGCCACCGCCGCCCGCCGCCGCAGGCGCGGGCGCCGGCCCAGAAATGGAAATAGTCGTCCCCGCCGCCGTCGCCGCCGCCGACGCAAGCGCCAGCCCGAGGAGAAGGGAAGCAGGGGAAGGGGGGGGTCCGGTTTCAACCCCCTCCTCCTCCAAGCGACCACAGAACGCGCTCTGTCGTATGTATGTAAGTGGGCGCGTATGTTGATCTACGCACGCTGGTACGTCGGAAGCTAAGTGTGCATGCATGCATGTGCGCGTGCGTATGCGCACTACGCACAATTGCACGCATGTGTGCATGGATGTTTGGGTTCATCTGTGTATATATAACAAAGAAACAGCGGCTGGTGTGTAAATGTATGCATCGATGTAAACCTTAGATCAGTAGGTAGGTGGTATGTGGGCACGTGCGTGCGAAAATAGGTTTACGGCGTCTTCCACGTGGGCCTGCACGGGAACGGAAAGAGCGCTGCAGGAACTTGCCCGAGAGAGCTCATTGCACCGTTCGCTCTTGGGAGGCTTGGCGTTACGAGCTCTTCACATCACCGTTCGCTCTTGAGAGCCTTGACGTGAACAGCGGTTTCAGGTCACCGTTTTCTCCTGCTAGCCTGAGCGTATTCTGACCTTTTTTATACCACCGTTTGCTTTTGGGAGCCTTTCTGCGAAAAGTTGTTTACGTCAGCGCTCGTTCTTGGCAAACTGGGAGTCAAGGGGGGCTATTATTTTTGCCGCTGGAGCCATTGGGCCGCGAGGCGCGGTGTCGCGGCGCCTGCAGGCGCCCACTCCTGCCTCCTGGGCATCCGCCGACAGATATGGAGAGCATTGCAGAAGGCACTCGTATCGGCCAATCCTGAGAGAAAAGCTGTACGCGTACGGCACGCAAGCATTATTTCGAAACGTAGCATCCGTAGCGCAATCATCTGTGCAATTAAAGACCCAACCGAGGAACCTGAAAGGCAGGTGGGAAAAGAACGAGTGCCCTGGCCGAACATGAAAGATCGTGTACTACATGGGCCGCATATTAAACACTCGATCGACGCAGGTGTCGTGTCGACAGAAGAGCGCTGCAGAAACTCGCCCGGGAAGGCTCATGGTACCGTTCGCTCTTGGGGGCCTTGGCGTTTAGATCTGTTTCACGTCACCGACCGCTCTTAGGAGCCTTGATGTGAAGAGTTGTGTACGTAACCATTCGCTCTTTGGGGCCTTGGCGTTCAAAGCTGTTCACGTCACAGTTAGCTCTTGGGGGCTTTAGCGGTAAGAGCTTGTTACGTCACCGCTCGCTCTTGCGAGCCTTGGTGTGAAGAGTTGTGCACGTCACTGCTCACCCTTGGGAGCCTTGGACTTAAGAGCTGTCACGTAAACCTTCGCTCGTGAGATAATTGGCGTCAGGAGCTGTGTACGTCACCATTCGCTCTTGGAGCCTGGGCATTCGCAACTTTCTGGCCCACTGCTCGCTCTGGGGACCATTGGCACTCAAAGATGCTTACGTCGCAGACTCGCGAGCAACAGGCTTTCCGGTCACCTAGTGCTCTTGGGAGCCATGGCGCCTGAGCTGCGTGCGGCAGCGGGCTGTCTGGGGAGGGGTCCTCTGGGGGCTCGCTCGTTTGGGTGTCTTGGGGCTCTCTTGTGCCGTTCTGGAAACCTCTTGGACCGTCTCGGGGGGCTTGGCCCCTCTTCGGGCCCGACTGGGGCAATCTTCGGCTTCGGGGGCCTCCGACGGCACTCTCGTGGCTCTCATAAGAGCCAGTTGGGCCCTCGTGGGCCCCGGGGCTCCCTTGGGAGCCTCCGGGGTCGTCCTGGGGCAGCCTCGGCGGCCCTCAGAGCCGTCCTCGACTGATCTGGGCCCGACCGACAAGGCGAGAACCCAAAAGACAATGGAAACTCAAAGGAAAAACAAGGCTTTGGCCTCCACGGGCCGCCTCAGGAGGAGGAGGAGGAGGAGGAGGAGGAGCAGGAGGAGGAGGAGGAGGAGGATGAGGAGGAGGAGGAGGAGGAGGAGGAGGTGTCCTCTTGGGAGGCTCGTGGGCCGTCCTCGGAGTCTCTTGGGCCGTCTCGGGTGGCTTCAATCGGCTCGGGGCCCTGTTGGGTCCTCTCTGGGGCCCTTTGGGCTTCCGTGGAAGCCTCTCGGGGCCCTCCACGGAACCTCTTGGAGCTCTTCGCGGCCGTCCTGTGAACCTCTGGGGCCGTCTTGGGGCCCTCTTGGGAGCCTCCTCGGCCGTCTTGCAGCAGTCGTGGGGGTCGATCTGGGCCCGAAGAGGCGGACAATGACGACGACGACGGCGACGACGACGACGACGACGACGACGACGACGACGACGACGACGACGATGGTGACGCCGACGCCGACGCCAACGACGAAAACGACGACGACGACGACGACGGTGACGCCGACGCCGACGACGACGACGACGACGACGACGACGACGACGACGACGACGACGACGACGACGGCGACGACGACGAACGCGACGGCGACGACCGCGACGGCCGCGACAGCGACGACAGCGACGACGACGACGACGACGACGACGACGACGTCACCAGCGGCGGCGCACCTGTCGCCATCGCCCGCAAAAGGCGCCCGCTTTGATAGAATGCTACTAGGGCTGAATCTAGCTCTCTCAGTATATACTAGGGCCCTACTGTATTCTACGCTCTGCCCTGCACTACTCTGTTCGACATTCCTCTACTCCACTGTACTCTACTCTGCCATACTGCCATTCTCTACTCTACCCAAGTCTAAAACAGTCTACCCACCGTGCCCTAACAGACCCAACTCTACTCCTTTTCTCTAGCTCAATTCTACTCCACTCCTTCTCTACTCTACTCTACTCTACTCTACTCTGTCCTACTATACTTGACCCTACTCTACCATACCGTACCCGAACATACTCTACTAAATTATAAGTTGTTCCTACTCTGCTCTACTCCTTTTCAACTCTACCCAGCTCTGCTCTACTGTATTATTGTTCTATTATGCCCATCTAATCTTCCCTACTTGACGCTACCTACCCTACTCTACTGTACCCCTGTCTAGACTACCCTACCGTACCCCAAACAGACTCTACTCTACTCCTCTTTGCCATTACTCTGCTCCTTCCCTACTCCTTCTCTACTCTGCTCTACTCGCCTCTCCTCTACTGTACTCTACTCTGGACTACTCTGCCCTACTCTCATCTACCATACCGTAACCCAACATAACTTCATTTACTTTGCTCCTGCTCTACTCTACTGATGCTCTACTCGATTCAGCTTTGGTCTACTCGCCTATCTTTCTTTTCCAGGGGCCGACCACAACGACGCTTCAAACGAAATGGCGCTTACCACGAAAAACGGAACGACGCCCAACGTTTGAAACGAACGTTTAAAACGAAGCCGGTGCCGCACGAAAACGAACGACGAAACGGGACATGTAAAGCAACTACGAAAAATGAAACGAAACAACAACGACAAACGGAATGAAAAACAAAACAAGGGCGCAAACCAAGCTAAACAGCCTTGTGGTCGGTCCTTGTTCTTTTCTACTCTACCCATCTACTCTTATCTACTCGACTCCTTCCCTGCGTCAATCCGATCTATACCTCCCTACTCTACTCTACCCTAGTCTACCTGAACCCTACCGTATCCCACCCTACTCGACTCGACTCCACTCTACCCTCACCTCTCCTCCAAACATACTCTACGCTACGCCTACTCCAATATGCTCATGGTCGTCGTCTTCGTCGTCGCCGTTGTCGTCGCAGGCGTGATCGCCGTCGTCGTCCGCGTCGTCGTCGGCGTCGCCAGCGTCGTCGTCGTCCGCGTCGTCGGCGTCGTCGACGTGACGTCTTTGTCACAGGCTGGCAACGCCAACGTCGTCGTCGACGGCGTCGTCGTGACACGTAAGTCGCACGTCGTCGTCGTCGGCGTCGTCGTCGTTATCGTCGTCATTGTCGTCGTCGTTGTCGCCGTCGTCGTCGTCGTCGCCGTCGTCGCTGTCGCCGTCGTCGTCGTCAGCGTCGGCGTCGGCGTCGGCGTCGGCGCGTCGTCGTCGTCGTCGGCTTCGTCGCCTTCGTCGTCGTCGTGGTCGACGTCGTCGTCGTCGGCTTCGTCGGCGTCGTCGGCGTCGGCGTCGTCGACGTCGGCTTCGTCGTCGGCATCGGCGTCGTCGTCGTGGACGCCGTCGTCGTCGGCAGCGTCGTCGTCGTCGGCGTCGGCGCTGGCGTCGCTGTCGTCGGCGACGTCGTTTTCGTCGTCGTTGTCGGCGGCGTCGTGGATGTCGTTGTCGCCATCTTCGTGGTCGTCGGTGTCGGCGTCGGCGTCGGCGCCAGCGTCGGCGTCGCCGGCATCGTCGTCGTCGGCGGCGTCGTCGTCGTCGGCGCCGTCAGCGTCGGCGCCACCGTCGGCATCTTTGTCGTGAGTGCGTCGTGTGTAGTGCGTCCCGCGTGGTGCGTCGTCGTCGTCGTCGTCGTCGTAGGCGTCATCGTCGTCGTCGTCGTCGGCGTCGTCCCCTTCGTTGTCTGTCACGTCGTCGTCGTGTCGTCGTAGTCGTAATCGTTGTCGTTGGCGTTGGCGTCGTCGGCGTCGCCGACGTCGCCGTCGTTGGCGACGGCGGCGTCTGCACTGTCGTCGTCGTCGGCAGCGTCATCGTTGTCGCAATCGTCCTTGTCGTCGTGGTCGTCATCGTCGTTGTCGGCGTCGTCGCCGCCGTCGACGTCGTCGCCGTCGACTTCGTCGTCGTCGTCGGCGGCGTCGTCGTCGTCGGCGCCGTCAGCGTCGGCGTCACCGTCTTGCCTGCGGCGTGCGTCGTGCGTCGTCGGCGTCGTCGTCATCGGCGCCGTCGTCGTCGTCGTCGTCATCGGCGTCGTCGTCGTCGGCGTCGTCATCGTCGACATCGTCGTCGTCGGCGTCGTCGACGTCGGCGTCGTCGTCGGCGTGGGCGTCGTCGTCGGCGTGGTCGTCGTCGGCGTCGTCGCCGTCGTCGTCGGCGTCGTCGACGTGGCGTCCTTGTCACAGGACGGCAGCGCCAACGTCGTCGTCGACGGCGTCGGCGGGGTCGGCGTCGGAGTCGGCGTCGGCGACGGCGTCGGCGTCTTCGACGTTGTCGTGCTTCGTACATCGCGCGTCGTGCGTCGTGTGTGGTGCGTCATCGTCGTCGTCGCTGTCGTCGTCGTCGTCGTCGTCCGTCGTCCGTCGTGCGTCGTGCGTCGTCATCGTCATCGTCGTCGTCGTTGTCGTCGTCGTTGCCGCTGCCGTCGTCGTCGTCGTCGTCGTCGTCGCTGGCGTCACTGTCTGCGTAGGCGCGTCGTCGTCGTCGGCGTCGTCGTCGTTCTCGTCGTTGGCGTCGTCGTCGTCGACGGCGTCGTCGTCGTCGCCGCGTCGGCGGCGTCGTCGGCGTCGTCGTCACCGTCGTCGTCTTCGTCGTAGGCGTCGGCGTTGGAGTCAGCGTCGGCGCCAGCGTCGGCGTCGTCGTCGTTGTCGATGATCCATCGCCGTCGTCGTCGTCGTCAGCGTCGGCGTCGGCGTCA